GGGCACCCCGGACCCTGCTCTGCCAACGCCGGCGCTCCAGATGTGCAGGCCTGGCCCTGGCAGCACAGCTGGAGCAGGAGCCATCCGCCCTCCAGCTGCGAGCCAGGCGTCTCTGCAGTTTTAAAGAGCCACAGAGGGGCGGGGGAGACCTTGAAGCCGGACCACAGCCCCCCCCCAGCCCCCCGGGCCCCCCCCCCCCGGGCTCCTCACCTGTCTTACAGCAGATCTCATCGTAACTGTGGCAGCCCGTGTACAGCCTGGCTGGGTGGCTTCGCTCATCCCGGGCTATCTTAACAGGGTATTTCTGGAGCCGTCGGATAAGGCCCTTCATCAAGCCGAACTGGATGAGCCTCCTGAGGGACAAGGGGAGAGACTGCTCACAGCTGGGACCAAAGCGCTGAGGCCTCAAACGCTGTCCTGCCCCAGCTCCCCCCGTTCCCTTCTGGGTCTACCGTGCAACATCACTGCACCCTCCTGCCTCAGTTTCCCCATCTATAAAAGCAGGGGAGACTCCGGGGGTTTGGCACTCCCTGTTCGTGAACCATCGCGCTAACCCACACCTGCCCGTCCACCAACAGCGTCAGCACTGCCCTCCGGGACCGGGTAAGAAGGTGCCGGCTCACACCTTTCGTCCACTCTCTGCAGCTGCAGGGTGTAGCGGGAGATGAGGTCTCGCACAGTCGTGCCAGGGCTCAGACCGCAGTACAGCTGGAAGACGTCCCTGAGGCTGGCTCGTTTGTGCCCTGCAGGAGTCAGACGCGGCTGCAGTTACTAGCCGCCAGCTAGCCCCCCTCTCACCGCAGAGTGGCCGACAATGGGGGTTTTAGGCCCTGCGTTGCTTTCTGGAGACTCTGCACAAAGAGTCGGGGCAGGCAAGGGAGCCCAGAGCTCCTGCGGAGCCTTACACACCTCCACCACCCCTTCTGCGGTGGGCCTGCTAGAGCCACGGCCCCACACGCACCACCCAGCGCGGCCTCACCAGACCTTGCTTAGTGACGTAGGACAGACATTCTTCCTGGAGACACTTGTCATCCACCAGGTCCTGGACCTTCGGCGTGGTGCAGTACACGTTTGAGTACTGGAGGGCAAGGGAAAGCCAGCTCTGCTTAGCCACAGATCAAAGAGCCGAATTTGCCCGGCACCAAACCCAGTCCCACCCTACGTGGCTGCCGCAACGGCACAGCTGCCTGCAGAATGCCATCTGCGGCACAGCTGCCACATGCCAGCCCTTCCTGCAACGCACCGCGGGTAAACGGGGATAAAACGCACGTCTTCCCCTTCTGAGCTGGTCTCAGGGCAGGGAAGCCCCCTCAGCTGCACGCTCTGCGGGGTGGATTGCCAGGGCTGCGGCACAGCGAGGCCTCTGCCCTGGCTGGCCCACGCAACCTAACTGTGCGAAAGTGGCCTTCCCGCGCAGCCCCACGCTGATACCCGCTCGCAGCCCCACGCTCGCTCCATCGTCGTTCCAGCCTGACCCACCTGGAGGATGGAGACAAGCGTGACGACTCCATAGTACCTGCAGACACACAGAGAAACACGGCAGTTGCAGAGGCCCTCTCTGCAACACCCACCCTTCTTCAGGGCTGGCCAAATCGCCCGTGGAGGAAACGGCATGAAAACGAGCTTTCAAGTCGCGGCAGGCAGGCCAGGGCACAGGGCTGGATCCAGCCCCTGGACAAGGAGTGATCCTGGGCTGGGGTTATTCCGACAACCGACCCACACAGCTCAGGAGCCACGCGCGCATTGGGACCTCAGGGCGCCGCTCTCCTTCCCCACACTCACAGCAGGTTTTGCACAGCAATGCGCACCAAGTTCAGCTCTACGTCGGCTTCGGCAGAAATCTTCTGGACGTGCCGAAATCCGTCAATGTAGGGCAGAATCTAGGAGGTGAGAAGGCAAAGAGCTAGTAGGGCAAAAGGTACTGAACCGCGCTAGTTAACGTGGTGATCTCCAGAACGGCCTGGCAGTCCCCTCTGCCTCTGGGCACGCAGGGAACGGAGCCTGTTAAAAGCATACTCCCCTTAGTTAAGGGCACAGACCTGTTGCGTTGTGAGATCCCACTGCGAATTGAAGAAATCGTCCTTGTCTTGGGTGAAGACTGGCACGTCGTACTCCTGCACAATGGGAGGGTCCGGGCGCTGCTCGATCACCTTCAGGTGAATGGTGTTCGATTCATCTGGCCAGAGAAAAAGCAGCGCTCAGTTCACACAGGAACCTCTGCTCCCGCAGGCGCTCGCTACCATCAGCCCCAGAACGCCATGGCTGTGAGCACCGGGAACCAAGGCGCTGCCAGCACCAGGCAAGGCTCACCTCCCCCAACCCTCTCCACAAGGCTCCAGCCAGCAGAAAGCAAAGCCCTCGTTACTGCCGCGGCTGCCCTGCAGACCTACTGCTGCGACAGTACCTATGGGCAGGGTGCACTTTCCTTTGGCGTTCAGCTCCTCCAGCAGGATGGTCATTATCGGGACCAGCTTCTGTTTACTCTCTTCATTGGAGATGAAGCCACTTTCCAGCTAAAGAAAGCAGAAAGTTGTGTCAGCTCCTCCCGGTGCGATTACCAGCTATAGGAACCGCACACGTCTCTCACATCCCTTCCTCTGCTCGTTTTCCCGGCCAATCTTAGAGAATCTTTCCTCAAACAGTGAGGCTAGTAAAATGAGGTCCCACGACATCAACAGAGCAAGGTTCTGCCAGGAATCAAAGGTGTCTTCAGAGCAGGGAGCGGGCAGGAGGCCTGAGAGCAGTTTGCTCGCTTCAAATTTTCCTTGGTCTTTCTACAGTTAAATATTCCTAAACTTCCTCTGAGCTTTCATCAGACCTCTCTCTGCATGGCTTTTTTTTTTTTTCTATTACTCTTAAACTTAAGAGTAAGAGCACAGCTAAGATCAGCACAACCCCCTCCTCAATCGTAAGCCTGGCCCATACCCCAGCAACGCCCAGTGACGTGCAATTTGCACCAGGATGTTGATGATGCTGCAGGGCAGATCCTGAGCAGCAGCCAGAGACAGACAGACAGCCGCACAGAGGCAGGGCACCGTGGGCAGCTCACCAGAAGCATGTTTTTCTGAGAGACAATGTTTCCAGCTCTCATCAAATACCCACCAGCAGGCATAACGATCTTCCTTGCTGATCAAGCAAAGGAGAGCACGGTCAAACACGTCCCACGCCAGGCTGCCTGCCCTCATGCCCCTGAGGGCTGGCGGGGAAAGAACTCTGTCCTAGCCCTGAGGCCAGCGAAAGAGGGAAGCCCTTGGCCAGGTCCCCCTCCAACCTGGAGCAGCGGGTTTGCCTCATGCCTTACCTCCAGGGTGGTGAGGTAGCCAGCCAGCTTCTTCACTATGGGCTCCAGCGCACAGGCCTTGGCTCTGGCGTCGCACACGAAGCCCAGGTTGAAGAGCAGAGCGTTTCGGCTGTACTTCTTGTGCTCGATACAAACAGGACAGCCGATCAGCTTCTTCTCCATGGCAGTCCTGTTGGACAGACAGGCATAACCTGCATCTACCTCTTCACGGAGGCTGGAGATGTGACCTCATGAAAGGCCAGTTCCCAGTTTGCTTTGGAAACAGAGCTCCTCTTGGTTCCGCCGGCAAATTGATGCCTCTTCCCCAAATGCTCAGCCTGTCCAGAGTCTAAAACAGACTTTCCAAGGAAATGCAAGGCAAAGAGTCAATCATTAGAGGGAAAACCTGCATCCTTCCCGAAACCAGTGTGCCTCTCAACACTAATTTGAATTTCCTGGATTTGAGGCTTACAGAGAAGCACAGGCAGTGCAAGCCACCCCCAAAATCAGATACTCAAACCCTCTGCACAAGTAACACTGGGCCTTATAATTAACGTATTAACCCCTGGGACAGAAACCCCTGTGAACCCAGAGCCAGAGCTGGCAGCTGGAAGACTCCATGTTGTCACATAACCAGGCTGCCATCTCTGCTGAGCCACCAGGGAAGACCTGCCCAGTTCTGGTGGGGACAGCAAACCCCACTGGGACCGGACACGCGCCTTGACAACACTCACACAGTGATGAGCTTGTTCTGCAGCTCGGGCTTTGTGATGACGTACACCTGGATAGTATCGAAGAGCTCCCGAGATATGAAGTCCTCTGGGACCTGCAGCACCAGAGAAAGCCCAGTTCTCCCCCTGCAGCACACCGTCGGGACGAAGGGACTCGCGGGCGACGCACCACGCGCGGGTGGGCGAGCGGGTCCCTGGCAGCAGGGCACAAGGGCTGCGCTGGGGGCTGCTCACCGCCCAGGACGGGGAGCGACTGGACTGCTCGTGGGCCCGACGGCACGCACAGGG